TCTCCGTGGGTTCGAACAAATGATTATGTTGTTCGAATTCTGTTAAGATCACTTTTAACAATACTCGAGAGGATAAAATATGTCTTCCACAACAACCAAATGGTATCCATAGGTGGGAACAAAGATTTTGAATCTATTAGTAGTCTCTGTTTTTCGTCCAGCGATTGGTTTGCCGCTCCCCAACGATGTTCAGCATATCCTTCCGATAATAATAAGTCCGAACAGATCAGTGGCAAGATGTCATATTCGAAAACGATACGGTCTTGTCGGAATTGGACCTTTTAAAAGATGCATGTCGGTCGGAAGTAATTCCCCAATTGTAGACAGCTGCAAGCAGATTGGAACTGGATCTTTCAGGCTCACTGGTGCTTACACTGGAAAGATCGGCAAGCTAAACGAATCGACGATTGAATCAGTGTTCAGAATATTAAAATTTATTGTAATACCAAGCGATTGTTGGATGCTCCTACTTCGACACTCGGTGATGCTGCTTTAGCTCTCCGGTATGCACACATTATTTTCTTCATAGAGAAACTAGTTTCAGCACCTCACATGATCGGCCTCGACGCAAGGGATGACCTGTACAATATGTTACCTTCGACTTTGAGAAATGCTCTGCATTCTAAACTGAAGTCCAATACAAAGATGTCGCATCGTTTATCTCTAGTGCTTCCGTTGCTGCAGAACGGAGTCTGGTACTGGTTTGGATATTGGGATTGTTGGCTCCTCTTGCTAACAACATGATCAGGTGGCACTCCGAACGCAGTTTCAAGGAACAGCATATGGTTTCCCGGTCTAATGTACTTTTGGTACAGACACTCCACTTTGCAAATCGAGCGAAAACAGAAACCGTTATTACCAATCTTCTTGTCGGCCTTAATTATGTCTGTAGGATCAATAGAGCACACAATAATATAGCTTTTTGAGACTCTGCTGGCGTTGGCTGTGCGCAGTTTTTGACATTAGCTTGTTTGTAAAGTTTCTGAATTTGGGTTGCTTGCCATTTGTAACAAATATTACTCTCAATAACATTAGCTTGCTTTACCCTCATAAGAGAATCAGCATTACTCAAGCATTGCATGATTAATATGATAAGTATATTCATGCCTAGCATATTAGTTGTCTACTTCCATGATCATGGATACATGACTCGTTTCTTCGATATAGCTTCCAGTGGTATGAGCTTTATAACTGTAATCCCGAACCTTTTGTTCATATCAATCGCTTCGGGGCTCATGTTGTTCCCAAGCTCCCAGTCAAAGTAATATAGCAAGCTAGCCAGAGCAAGATGAACTACTTTGTGAGCTAATGAGATGCCTACACAAATTCTTCTCCCTGAACCAAAAGGAATCAACTCGAAATTCTGTCCCCTGTAGTTTATCTTCGAAGACAAAATATTTCGGGTTTGAATGCCAGGGGATCCTCATGATTCCGGGTCTCTTCCGATCGCCCATGCATTGACAAAGATCTGTGTCTCCTTGGTATCAAATACCCAAAATAGTTGGTCTCTCGCATGCCATTTCTAGGAATTAGTAAAGGAAGTGCAGGGTGTAATCTCAGCGTTTCTTTTGTCACAGCTTGCAAGTATGACAGATTATCCATGTCACCCTCCTCAATTTTCCTGTACACCCCGATAACTCGGTCGAGCTCTTCTTTCGCCTTTTTCATTGACTCAGGATTACGGAGCAGCTCCGCCATTGCCCATTCCATGGTGCTGCTTGTTGTTTCTGAGCCGGCAAAGAACATTTCCTACACAATAATATACAAAGAATTATACGTAACATATTCAACAGTGCACAATAATCTACTTGTTGTTGATGCAGTTTTACCAGTATGATTATATAACATTCTGATTCGATATTGTTCCTTCACCTGTATGCTCCAGCAATGCATCTAGCAAGTCCTTTGTTGGTTTTTCTTTGCGGAGCTTTACCTCATCGATCCTGTCTTCAACAAAGCTGCTCATAATTTTCATGGCTCGACCCATCTCCCGAACCATGTTCCTCTTGATCTCCTGGCAGGGGCGGATGTATGTGGCTCCCTAGGGGAGTCACTGAACACCCATTATTTTGAGAAAAATATTAAATTTAGTTTAATTTGTTAATGAAAATAGAAAAAAATAAAAAAAAATTGCATACCCAAATTTTTTAGAATATGAGCATTAAAATTTTGGACACCCATTTTTTAATTTCTAGATCCACCATTGTCCCCTGGGGATCCAACCATTTCAACACCGTTAGGAAATCGGCCAAGTTCGGCTTTCCGGCAAATACAATCACCTCGTTCATGGCGTCAAAGAACTCTTTCCCTTCCTTTGATCGAGAACTCAAAAGATCTCTTGACAACACCAGGTTGCCAACAAGGTTAAAAGGCATGAGGAAAAAGAAGTGAGGCAAGTTTACCTTACCTTCTTCTCCCCGTTCACGTGATGCCACTGCATCTTCCTCGATGTATCGAATCATGTCGTCGATACACTTTCGTTGGAGATGAGTCGTCTCGTTGGTTCACCAGTTCACTAAGAGCTCTTTTGAGCAGATACGACGAAGCATGCGTCATGACTCGCCATATCTCCCGAACGCAAGCGATCATAGATAGTAATCAAGAGCAGTCAGTGCAAGGGAACATTTACGATTGCAGAAATCATGATTATGGTTCTTAATGAATTATACTAAGCCTGATAATGCTTATGTTATGAGCAGACTTAGTAGATATACCCATAATTCGAGTAGTGAGCACTGGTTTGCTCTCAGACGCTTACTCAAGTATCTTAAGGGTACAATAGATTGGAAACTTGAGTTTGTTGGCTATCCTACGGTACTGGAAGGATATTGTGACTCCAACTAGGTTTCTGACAATGATGAAGTAAGCTCTACAAGTGAGTATGTTTTTACTTTGGGTGGAGCATCAATCTCGTGGAAATCAGTGAAGCAGACTTGTATTGTTTTTTCTACTATGGAGTCAGAGTTTATAGCTCTTGACTTATCTGGAGAAGAAGTTGAGTGACTCAAAAATTTATTAGTTGAAATTTCGTTGTAGGAAAGATGACTTCTCTTGTTTCCTTATTGTATGATTCACAAGTTGCGATTGGTGTGGCTAAGAACCAAGCTTACAATGGTAAGAAGAGGCATATTCATATAAGGAACCTAGCAGACATGCTTACCAAAGGGTTAAGTCAGAGACTGGTCTTAGATTCGTAAAGGGATGAATTTAAAGTCCATTGGTTGAGGAATTCATGGTGGATACCCAACTTAGTTATCTAAGCTTACAATAGTAATAAGAGACACTTAATAAATAATGGAGTACTCTCCTTAGAGTATGTAAAGTGAGAAAGAAACCTAGCAAATCTACTTACTAAAAGGGTTAAGTCGAAAACTGGTATTAGATTCATCGAGGGGGTGAGTTTAAAGCCCATTGGTTGAGGAATTCATGGTGGATACACAGCTTAGTTATCTAAGTTTAATGTGGTCAAACAAAACCATGGAAAGACTCATAGTGTACATTTTCCTACCTATCCCTATGACGAACAATGTACATACCCAGGTTGAGCTTAATTGCTCTTAATAAATTCAGACCCTAGGCTTTGGGTGGTCTTAGTGAGAAAAACTTGATGAATTTACCAACTTTGGCTGAATTTACCCACTAGAAAGGTTGAGTTTTATGAAAACTATTAGGGTGCATTTGATTCAAGGAATGTAGGATTACCAGTGGGAATAAAAGATTACTAGGGAATAGGATTACTGGGAATGTTGTATTTTGTGTTTGGTTGGTTTAGCAGGAATGTAAGATTACCGTGTTTGGTTAAAGGAATAAAAGATTATTGGAATGTATATTTGACCAAATTGTACTTATTATATATTTGTATAATATTACAAATTGTAAAATATTTATATATTTTCTTTAAAAAATTAAATTCATAATATTTATATAATTTTTTTTACAAAATAAAAAATATAAAAAAGGTTTAATGAAAGGGTAAAAAAAAATTTAACCCATGAACTTCATATAAAATTTTAATTATAGACTTTTTTTTTTTGTAAATCTAAAATAATTTAAGGATAAATTTGTAATTTAACCTTCGTAGAATTTTTATTATTCAATGACAGAAGAAGGATATTTTTGAAAAAAAAATAAAAAAATTAAGGGCATTTTAGTCTAAAACGCCAGTAATGTTACAATACCTAAGGGAATGGAGGTAATGACATTCCCGGTAATATACCCCAAAAATCTACTATTGGTAATAAAACATTACCGGGAATGAGATTCCCGACCAACCAAACATGGGAATGTAGGATTCTCATCCCATGGGAATCCCACAATCCTTGAACCAAACACTCCCTTAATGAATTCAAATCCAAAAATTTGGATGGTCCTAATGAGAACGACTTATTAAGGGTCTGTTTGTTTCACTGAAAACAGTTTCTGGAAAATGAAATCTGGAAAATGTTTTACAGAAATGTAAATCATTTTTCAGAAAATATTTTTCAGTGTTTGGATGGTACATTGTAAAATGTTTTACACTGTTTAGATAATTTTCCTGAAAACTGTTTTCAGAATATGTTTTTAATGAAGAAGTTGTACATATTGAATATGTTTTATTATTTATTATTTTTAAAGGTTCATTTTTTATATATAATTATATTTTATAAAAATATGAATTTTAGATAATATTAATAATTGATTAAAAATATATTATAAAAGTTTATAAATCCTAAGAATGTTTAATTAATAGTACACCAAATTAAAACAACAATAGTACATAACATTATACTAATAATAATAGTATCAAAATATATAATTAAAGGGTTTATCAAATTAAACCAACAATAATATTCAACCGTAATAATACATAGTCTAATTCATAATTAGTGCTAAACACATCAAACCAACAATACAAATACTGAAATCTATACTACAACACATTAGAACTAAAATATTGTCTAAGTCATAAATAATAATACAACACATTAAAGTTCACATTTGAAAGTAACTTGTTCCTCTAATTTTTTAGGCTAAATCCTGTGCTTCACTAACCCTCTGCCAAATAATTGAAACCTCTTCTCCTAACTCGGATCCTTGGGGAGCATCCAGGTTATACACAACAACCATCTTTGCTTGAGATGTCTGATCACTGCTGTTATTATGTTCGATTAGTTCCTCCATTCTCATCAGAACAATACCACCCGCGGTGACAACCAGATTTTAAAGATCTTCCTTGTAACCAGACACGAAATCGCCCACAAAATAAAAGTTAAAGCCATCAAAGAGCTTTGGTGCCTGCTAGAGGAACACATTACTTTGCTTGCGAAGCAAAAGGTAATAGTGTTGCCAACTTTAAAAACTAGCAGACATAACTTACATCATTCAATATCGAGTCTGCCAGTTTTAGGGCCATCACGACACCTGTGGTTATCGAGACTAACTGTAAGGTTCCTCACTCAAAGGATGCATGGCTTTCAAGCACTCCTTTACCCCTGTAAAGTTAAGCTTACATATCAGTGGTGACGATACAACTTATTGTTTTAGTGTTTGAACTTCAACCAACACACATTCAACAAAGTAAAAGAAACAGATGCTTATGAATATAGAGTGGAAAAAGGAACAATTGAACTTACAATTTATATTAAGAATCCACTTCCCGTTTGAAATGGCCATGAGAACTTTTAAGTGTCCTGGTGTATGCACCGTTCCCATCTGTAGAAGCAATCACATGAGTGACATCCGGCTTCCAGCACTTGGATACAGTTGCACCAATCATGTTCGCAAACTTGATCAAAAGGAACTGCAACAAGGTAAAACAATAAATATATACAATAAGAGTACATTGTTGTTAAAATAAAAAGCCTATTCAAGGATATCTTATCAACGAAATAATCTCTATGTAAGATACTATGCGTCCATTTCCAACACCAAAAAGATAGATTAAAAGAAATCAATGCTTGAAAAATATACCAGTTTCACCTTTCAACTTGATAAAACACAAACAATTCAAAGATACAGTACTTAAAAAATAACTACTCAAAACTTATAAATGGGTCAAAACAAAAATAATAGGGTTTAGAAATAAGATAACCCAGATACTAACCTTATTTAGCTACCAACAATGTTTTACCAAAAAAAAACAAATAGAAGTAATTAAATGAAAATTACCTCGATCTGCAGATTGGTCTTTGCAAATAGGGCACTCTGAGCCAAACTCAGTTCTGGCTATGCACGTACTGTAACAATTTCAAAAACAAAAAAAATGAAAAGAAAGCAATGAAAACCAAAAAATTTCAGAAGTGAAGATAAAGATAGAAGGAGAAATGGTACTAACTCGCAAAACAGATGGTCGCACGGCATCAACAATGGTCGTTTAAACAAATTCAAACTGTCAAGATAACAATTTTTAATAATATCAACTTCAAAACCTCAAATTAAAAAAACAAAGAAAATACAGCACAATGAGAGAGAACAAACCAGAGAGGACATTTAAGCTCCAGACCCAGTTTTTGAAGATGAAGAGCCCAAGGATTCATAGCTCTATTAACACTCTGCTTAGTTGAAAGATTCATTATTTGCTCAAAAGCAAAAATGAGGGGGAAGTCGATAAATGAGAAACTTATAAGGAAAAAGAAAAGGGAGAAGAAGAAACGAGACATACCTGAGATAAACCTGATGAAATAAACTACATAAATGAGAAGGGTTAGCCACCTTCTATGAAAATGATGGGTCATTTTCCTAAATAGATGGGTCATTTTTCTAGTACACTTACTAAAATCTTGAGGTAAGATGGCCAAATATATACTTTTATATATATATATATATTTATACTTACTAGAATCCTGAGGTAAGATGGTCAAATATATACTTTTGTATATATATATATATATATATATATATATATATATATATATATATCTTACACATTGAGGACTCAGGTGGATGGAAGGGTTAGTTGTGTTATGAGTTTACCATTATCTTAGAAAGTTCAAGACTAGTTTCACTTATTTAAGAGAATGATTGCTCATCATCACTATGTACTAGTTCAAGATACGTTCACTAGTGCTTAAGCAACAAATCTCGCTATTGCTCTTCTGGAAAGATTGTTTTCGAGTTTCAGAAGAATTCTTTGTATTAGTGGGGGAATGCTAGTAATGCTCAATCCCACATAGAGTGGGAAATACATTGGGCTTGGGTATTTAAGGCTTTCATTCTTCACTCCCTTGTTGAGTGATAGAGAACAAGGGGGTTTCTCGTGCGCCCCCGCCGTCCGTCTCTTCTCGTGCTCGTGGAAATAGACGTGGACGTGGTCGTGGTAATACGTGTCTTTGACACGTTCGTGCGGTTGCTATCTTTTTAGAGAAATTTTTTTGAACAAATGAAAAAAAATGTGAAAGTCTTCTGTTATTTATAGGTTGTTGTTGAGTATTGATGCGGTGAACGAACTAATTTTAGGCTAGGTTCATTTGTTTTTTAGTTGTTATTTTTTAGGGTTTTTATTTCAAAATTAAAATCAGAAATTTATTCTAATTTTTTGTTGGACAAAAATAGCCCTATATCTAGCCTATAAATAGAGAACTCATTTGGCTTCTCAACTCATCCTATAGCTCACAAATCATTCTCAAGTGTTTTAAGATATTCTTTTTAGCTTCTTTTCGATCAGAAGAGCAATAACATCAGCGATCCACTCCAATTTTGGATGTACGTAATTTTGGAGCGACCGTGTTAACCTCGAAGGACGATCCGCCTGACGCAACGATTACACACATCGGGACGAATTCATTTTTAAGATAGTGATTTTTTACCTCGACACCGTTTACAACAAATGAATTATCTATTTTTTTTTATTTTCTAGTGAAAACAAACGGTGTGATTTTGCATTCAATATTTCCAACATTGCAAAACCCAGCTATTGGCGCGCTTGTTTTGCTTCAAATACAAGATTGACAATGATGTACTCGAGTTTGGAAGTGCATTAGTGCAGTATGGTCAGAAGTTAGAGAGAACCTTGTATGGACCTTATAAGCGATGACTCTGTTGATTTCTGACGAGATGAATGGCTTGGTGATATTGATCCACTTTAAAAACAACGTTTGGTCAATATGTAGGACACATCGGACCAGGCCTTGGTTCGCTCTATGGCTGGCAAGGATGGTGATTGGTGATGGGGAGAACTCTTAACCTTACTATATGATGGTACAGTACTCGCTCTTGCTGCGGTTAAGCTTCAATTGGTCAATGGTGAAAATGATCGTCTGGGATGAAAGTGGGATAAGTGACGTCATTTTCCGACAATGAGTGCATATGAACGAAGACTAAGAGGACCAGGACAGTCCAATACACGACTGGGGCAAAGCATTTCACTGTACAAAGGCTTGTTGTGTGTTAAAATGCTTATTTTATTAATATGTAATCACCTCATGTCAAATGAAATGAAAAAAGTGTTTGACGTCACCCTTTGAAAAGGGTGATTGGCCTTAATATAATACTGTAAGGCGAAACTCCATTAGAAAAGGTGGGGAACACGAAAACAGCTGTAATACAGCTAAGCATTGCCCCTGTCTTTGGGGAACACGAAAACTGGAAAACATCACCCATTTGGTGTAATACACCTGTATTAATACTGCTCATTAATATAATATTGTTCATTAATAGTCAGTGGAGAACCACGTCATTAATTTAGTGTCATACAACTTTTGCTTGGATGCATAAAAAGGGTTTTGATATATAAAAAAGGGCATATAAAAAATATATCATGTGGTCAAATATTTGGGAGAAATCAAAGGGGAACTTGGATGCATAAAAAGGTCCCTTTATAAAAATTTGTACAGGGCCCTAGATAATCTAGACACGATCCTGATTGTGGTGCGACTATGAAGTCCCTCTCGCGCATCTTACGGGGGGTGTTGATGCCCTCTCGACTTGGATAGAAGTTGTCAAGCCCGAAGTGCTAAATGAGTTCCTTACTATGGATTTAAATAGTTGGGATGTGTTATTTGACTCGATTTTATGGTGCCTTTGGACTCAAAGGAATAAAGTTATCTTCGAACCAGATGGTATGGACGTTGAGAGTATCTTATAGCGTGCCCGAAAGCTATGCTCGGAGGCAACAAATGCAGCTGGACTTTATGGCTTGCTACATATGGTTGCCTTACGACCGAATCGAACTATAGTCTCTTGGAGTCCATCTCCGCCTGGATGGAATAAGTTGAACACGGATGGAGCTTGAAATATGATGACGAGACCTACAACTTGCGAGGATTCCCTGAGAGACTCGGAAGGGAGATGGCAATTGGGTTTTTCCAAAGCACTACTCTAATAAAAATGTGTGATTGCTGATGGAATTTATGTGGGAATTTATGACGGAATTTAAGTTTAGTAACAGAATTTCTGAGGAAAGAGAGTAGTTAGTAAAACGCTGGTCGAAAACAATATTTCCGAGGAAATAAACTAGTCCGTCATAAATTTACTGACGGAAATCCATCAAAATATTACTAAGGAATTATTTAAAATTCTTCGGAATATTTATATATATAATAATAATATATTTTATGTTTCTGATGAACATATCTTTTCCTTCGGGAGATTTATAAAAATGAAAAGAAAATCTAAATTTTTAATTTCTGATAGATTACATTTTTTCTGTCGGAAATTTAAATCTTAATTTTTTATAAAAAAAAAGAAGGAAAATGTATTGGGATTCTACCCGAAAAATATATTCATTCCCTCCAAAAAAAATTATTATGAATCCAAATTTTTGTTTAATTAATTAATGTACCAAAAATTAATAATAATATAATTCAAATAATTATATTAATTTGAAAAATTAGGTAATAATAATACTAACAAGTTCATATTGTATTTTGATAATGCATTAATAAGAAAATAGTAGCATATGATACAAAATTAAATTCATCATATTAACTAAGATAAACATGACTTTACAACATATATTTCACAATACAATGTTTGTAATAAATATAAATATATATGGTTGTACACTATACATAAAAATACAATATTCAATAATAAAGAAAGAGTAAAATACAAAGTTTGTACACTAAATAATTATTATCATTTAAAAGTTTTTAAGCAACCTACAAAATATAATGAAAGATGTTAGTGAATAATTAAAAATAATATAATATAATAAATAAAGTATGTATTAAGAAAAATTACATTAAACAAAATTAGAACTTATATCAATATTGATAGTTGATGATAATAAAAGATGATGAAATTAAGAGAACTTTTGGAGAGAAAAAAAAAGTTAATAAGAGATTAATGAAGGAAATGAGAGAAGATTGAGTTTAGACATGTTTAAATAGGAGAAAATAAGGGGGGAATAGGTTAGATTAAAATTAGATGGTGGAATGGAGGGAAATTGAAAAGGCAGAGCATGTGAAAAACTCTAAAATTTGTGACGGAACATGTAGGACCGTAAGAAATTTGTGACGGAATAGGTGAATCTGTTAGAAATTTGTGATGGAATAGGTGAATCTGTCATAAATTTGTGATGAATCCACATATTCCATCACAAATTTGTAATGGGTCCACATATTCCATCACAAATTTAAAAATATTTTTTTTCTAAAAATCATATATTTTTTTTTAAAAATATCATATAAAAAAGAATCATCCAACCACTTAAAAAATATGTTTCCTGCAGTAACTAATGCCACAAGCAGCAGAACGAAGACGGACAAGTTGGATCGAATAACCAACTCCATCTCTCTAATCTAGTTGTCTAAATAACTATATTAAAAAATTCAAAAATTATTTAAAAAATTAGTAAAATAGATAGCAATAAAATGTAATTTCAAGAAGTATTATCTAATTATTTTTGTAGTATATTATATGTTTAAAGTGTGGCATTAATTTGTTTTGGTAATAAACAAGGTAACCATCTCTAAAAACATCCCTATATATCCTAAGGGAGGAAAAGCGCATTAACCTTGTTGTATTTTCATTGATAAGAAAATAAAAGTATAGAAGTATTACAATTCAACAAAACACCAGTTAATATTAAAAAACTTGAAATAAAGTTAGAAACTTAAAAATAAATATCATAAGAAATTCAAGAAGCATTATCCTATTTGCAATTTTGTGATGGAGGAATAGGATAATAAGCTTCTTCTTAATTGTTGGGTGGCTAGACAAAAGGTGCCAAAGGTGTGACATCTCTCGTTTGTGGGTGCAAAGGCATTGAAGTGCTATTTGAGCTTCTGAATAAAGTTAGTAATTAGATAATCCAATACTTACTTAGCAAAAGGATCATGCAACAAAACCTTTTCTAAAAGTTGTAGTATTTCTTCTAAAATGATGATTATGAGGTAAAAATTTACGATGATTATCGAACCAAGATTGTTTCCCACCATGCTGAAGAGTAAATGCTTCAGATTCTTCCATGCAATATGGACAAGCCATTCTTCCAGTTATACTCCAACCCGACATCATGTCGTACCCAGGAAAATCATTGATAGTCCATAACAAGGCAACACGAAGCAGAAAATTTTTCTTCATTGACAAATCATATGTTACATCCCCTATTTCCCACAAATATATCAACTTGGCAATTAAGGGTTGCAAGAAGACATCTATATTATATTTTG